TTTTTTTTTTTTTTTTTTTTTTTTTTTTTTTTTTTTTTTTTTTTTTTTTTTTTTTTTTTTTTTTTTTTTTTTTTTTTTTTTTTTTTTTTTTTTTTTTTTTGGTATTTTTATTTCCTAGATGAACTCTGGTTTCTTATTTTCAGCAAAAACCCAACAAGACAAAGGTTGAAACTAACACAAACAAGGAATCTCATCATTGTCCTAGACCCGAACTTTGAAAAAAATTAGACGTTCAAAAATAAGAGGGATGATCTTACCGTTGAAGAACGACCGAAGCACTAATGAAAGAACAAGCTTGAGATTTCAGTTTAAAATAACATGAAATCTACTCTTGCAGCCTCAGTCGATTAAAAAACACCAGGAACTGAAATTCAGGAGCCCAATAAATAAATCCGACCGCAGGTCCTCCTTTGATGTGCTGTAGAAGAACATAGATTAGACTCGAGCTAAGGTAACAAATGGAACAATATCACCCAAATATATAACACGGGTTGACTTAGCAATCACAACGATAAGAGAACAGAGAACTCCGAACCTTTCCATCAAGAATAACAAGTTCACCATCAACCCATCGAGGGTTGCGAAAACCTGGCTCAGCTAGCCTCCCCTGTCCTTTATATCTAGCAATCTAGAAACAATATACCACATGACTATTCAGTATAGAGAGGAGAAAGAGGAAGATCAAAGTGGAGCAGATAAGGTTAATGGTTGAATAAAAATTACCACTCCAAATTCTTCTGGAATGATCCCTTTATGAGGAAGCTGGTATTTTTTTCCAACCTTCGCACGAAATGCCACCTGGAAAACCATAACCATCAACATTACTCGAGGGGATTTTGTAGGGAAACTCGAAGCAAACCATTTTTGAAACAGGTACAAATATTACCTTGCCAGCTGGTACATATGGATCCCCAATAACTTTCCAGGCCTCTACATATTCATAGAATTCAAGCTTTGAAGGCTCCTTATCCCCTCCTCCATCCTCTTGCCATCGACCAAATCTGCGTCTTAGATGAATAATATCCGATGTATACATTCCATGTGCACCAATATACAGTCCTGGAAAAAGAATGAATTCTCCATGACGCCTCTACGCTAGCTTGTCTACTTGAATGGAACAAAAACCATAGAAATAATACCATTCAGAGGATCTGAAGTAGTCGGTATATCAATGCGATTGAAACTTGTGGATCCAGAAAGAGGTTGACAGTTCTGTGCTTGGCTGATGGATAGCTTTATTAACTCACTCAAATTTTTAAGTACCTGAAAGTTTTCATAATACACAAAGAATTAGTTAATCGACCAACAACTATGATCTTAACATGCTAAAATTTCAAAGCAACCTTAAGCGGTATCTTCTCCTTGCCAATAAGTTTGGCCAAATCTAGCATAACATAGTCATTACTACTTCGACCTCGAGACTTGGACATCCTATCCATGGAATTTAGTTCTTTTCCGATAGAGTCCTGTTCATTTGAATCTTTCACAATCGAGAAAGAAAATGAAGAACGTCCCTTCTTTTCTAACTTTGCAGGTACTCTGAGTATATTTTTAGCCGAAAACCCACCGGAAAGCTTCTGCGCTAAGCCACCTACAATGATTTTGACAGCAACTTCATTTTGCCCCTGATTTTCAAGGAAACCATCATCAGCAATCAATTCAGCATTCTCTTGACGTTCATCCTTAATTTTGTCTTCTACTTCCAAATCTTCAAAGCCGCTCTCTTTCTCACTTTCTCCATCGTCTTCCTCTTCCTCTTCTTCATCATCTTCCTCTTCTTCATCTTCTTCCTCCTCAATTATTTGCTCAATCACCTTAGATATCACGTCTTTGTCAACCTTTCCAGAGGTTGTTAGCTTCAAAACCTTGACCTTCCCTCCAGGAATCATATCTCTCAAGATATCCTGAAAGACCGGAAGTCCAACAGCTATGTCAGAATCTTCATTTCTGATGTCACCATCTTCAGCTTCTTCACCGTCTATAATGAAAATATCATCCTTTTCTTCAACAGGGTCAAAAGGATTCAATAGACTAGGTGAATCTAATTCTTTTGATGAACCATTTGAACTATTTGAGAAATCTCCTTTCCGCTTCAAGTACACAGCCTGAACACACCAAAAAAAATACCTTGAGCACCCAATTGTTATCATTATTATAACATTCGGGAAAAAAAAAAATCTGAATTATTCAACCCAAAGCTAACCTATTCATATAATTATAAAGAATATACATGGGCACAGGCAACTATCTCTCATTTGCAAAGAAGCAATTAAGAAAAACACTTTTTTTCAATGCAAAATCCAAACTTTCATTGAGGTAAAAAATGGAAGGATATGAGGAACATACAAAAAAAAAATAAAAAATAAAGCCCCAGAGAAAAGAGTGAAAGAAAACTAATACATTTAAGCAAATAAAACCTAAGATAATTACAAAAAAATTTAACCACCAACTTGCAAAGAGAGACATAGAAATGAACAAAGGCCCATACATCCTCTTTAGACGTTCAATTTTAGAGATGTTCATTTTATCCACAGGGTCCCCACCCCAATCAGGGAATGGGGGAGAAGTGGGGAACATTTTTTCCCCGTTAGATAAATGGGACTGAGGACAGGAAAGTCCCTGTCCCGCCCTGCTTAATATAAATATATTATAAACACGATGTTAGAAATTTTACAAAAAGGAAAATTTTAATTCGTACAGCACATAACATTAGATGCTTTAAGATACATACCTGCTGTTTGTATTCACCCTTCTTATTCATTCCAAGAAAAATCTCAAACAAGGGAACACCATCTGCAGCCGTAGCAAGCTGCCTGAGGAAGTTGAGAAACAAAAATCAATATTTTCTTTGATGCAACAGTCAACTAATAAAATATCATTAAAAACAATGGTCATAGAGACTTTGCAGAAAGCATCAGGTGTTATGTTCTTACTGCAAAATATCACTCAGGAGCTAAGATTTGATGCCAATAACAGGAATAAATGGTTCCATCAATCAAAGGACAGTAGAACGGAAGAACTCAGACACAAGAACTCAGACACACTGCCAAAAAGTTTAAAGCATGGGTGGGGGGGTAGAGGGAGAAAAAAAAAACGTTGAATGTACTGTAATACAATTCAAAGGACAGAGATCATACCGAGAACTATAACTTCTAGCTATGTATCTTCCATGTTCTGCTGTTATTCGAATAATTAGACCACGAGGATTATGATCGTCTTTTGAAGTGCCAGACCACCAGCCAACCTGAGAGGAAGAAACCCAAAGGAGAAAATCATACTTGTACCAGGAGTATAAAACCTGTTTCAGTTTGTTTAGAAGAGAATCTAGATATAATTACTCGATCCATGAAAGACTAACGTCACACATTAACCAAATTGGAAAAAGATCACGGAAAAATCAGATTCTTGCCCCATTTGAACTTAATTACAAACCTCTCAATAGGTTAGCAGTTAATTGGCTGACTGTGGAACTGGATTCATTAGTTACTTGACAATAATGTAAAGAAACAGCGACAAGTTCCAGAGCTTGGGAAAAAATGAACAAATAAAAAGTACAAAACAGCCTAGCTATATGAACTTGTAAAATGGATCAACCAAAAAGTCTTGTGCACATTGCAAAGATCAATCGATCAAATATAGGGCGTACGTATGAACATGACAGCAAAGAGGGGTAAAATACAAGCACTTTATTTTGGAAACCATTGAATATCTCACCAGTCCGGCACCAGCATTGTCTCGAATGAAGGCTGCATCCCGGTAACGCTCCTCCTCTATAGCTCTCTATAGCAGAAGCAAGAAGAAGTGTAAGAAAATGAAGCAACAGATAGAATTGTAACGCCCCAAGCCCACCGCTAGCATATATTGTCCTCTTTGGGCTTCCCCTTTTGGGTTTTCCCAAAATGCGACTGCTAGGGAGAGGTTTCCACACCCTTTAAGGGTGTTTTATTTTCCTCCTCAACCAAGGTGGGATCTCACAGGTGAACCAACAAAGTTTCAGCGGATGAATGCTATCGGGCATGGTAAAACTAATGAAAAATAGGAAAATGATGAGTTATGTTCCACAGCAGTAAATGAAATTTTCTCACATGAAGATGAGACATTGCTCTGCCAACAGTATCCTTTGTAGCCAAAGCCGCAAGCGCCACCTTGAGCCTTGCAGCATCCTCATAATCCTCTGCATATACCGCATGACTTAAGCGCGACTGCGCAGAACCAAAGCAAAAAAGAGAAAGAAAAACAAACGCAACAAAATCAGTTTTTCTTAGATAACCCTACGAAGGGAATTCTTCATTGTCCTATCACATTTCTTCCTCGAAATTTCACTCATTGCTCCATCCTTTTCTTCAATCAAATTGCACTCAACTCTTTCTTCTTTCTCTAATCCCAAGCATCTCAGAAGCTAAATTAGAACGACCCGAGAAAAACCTAAACTCGAACATACTACAGGGAAATCGAAAAGAAATACCTTAAGAAAAGAAACGAGATGCTCCTGTTCATCCACCTCGTCAAAATGCTTGCGCCACCGATCCCAATCCCAGCTCCCATAATCGTCATCCCCATCTTTACGCCGCCCCTGCAGAACGCGACCGTCGGAACGAGGATCGATAGAACCATCGCTACGGTGAGTCACGAGAGAATCGAAGCGTTCGATGGCGGTTTGAAAAAGGCCCTGAAGCGCAGAGCTCCATCCCCAGGGAAGGGAAGGTTCGGACGGAGGAGAATCAGGGTTGTGAGAGTGGCAGATGGTGTGGGAATGGGATGATGGAGAAGGAGAAGCAGCAGAGGAATGAGGTTTGAGAAATGGAGTCGGGGAATGGAAGTTGGTGGTGGAGAAGGAGAGGTGACGAGAAGGGAGCGGAGAAATGGAAGCCATGGAGGGATGAGAACTCAGAGGGACAGAAAAGGCTTAGAATGATCGGCAAGTGAAAAGTGAAAGCACGTCTTGTCTATCTATCTTGTTCATCTGTGTAACCTGTCGATTTAATTTTTAAAAACTCAGTCTAGTTTACACAAACAGAAAAGGGATAGAGATTTCTCCTTGTCTAAATGAGACTCGAACTATAATTATTCTCGTTAGAGTTATCTCTTCTGTTTAACGTCTGTCCATCCTAGAAACGGCTCAAGGAGGTAGGGAGTTATCTCTTCTGTTTAACGGTCTGTCCACCCTAGAAACGGCTCAAGGAGGTAGGGTCCAACGTCTGAAAAAGCATTGCACGTCGAATGGTGTTTGATGCGTCCCTAGCGGCCCTTGAAAATTTCTCTTCTGTTTAATGGTTTGTCCACCCTAGAAACGCCTCAAGGAGGTAGGGAGTTATCTCTTCTGTTTAACGGTCTGTCCACCCTAGAAACGCCTCAAGGAGGTAGGGTCCAATATCTGAAAAAGCATCGCACGTCGAATGGTGTTTGGTGCGCCCCCGGCGGCCCTTGAAAATTTGGAGGCCAAAAGGTCCCTAATGTTGGTGGGGCTGGACAGAGTACCCCTATATCTTAGATTTTCTATTTATTTATTTATTTATTTTAATTTTTTTTATATATATTCCAGTTTAACTCCAAATTTTAGTAACATTGAAAAAAAATATACATTAAAAACTTTATTTTAAATCACAATTTTTATAAAAAAAAAAAAATAATAAATAAGAAAAATTTAACACCCGCCCATACATATAAATTCTTTGCTCAAATTAATATCCCTAGAATCGAAAATTCAATCATTTGAATCTTAGAAATGAGACTGACTCAAGTTATAAACAATAAAGTGATTCAACATATATTATCCAAAACATATACGAACGTCTACATAAATCCTTCAAAGATATTTAGCTCATAAGTTAGATGAGTGTATTTTAGTTAAGAAATTATCTTACATTACATATAACACATGACTACCTTATAATACTGATTTATACTGATTTTCCACCTTATAATTATTATACTGATTTATGTCTATCAATAATGTGTTTATAAATAGTTATTTGTATGGCCGTTTTCTATTGCATTTACCATTGATATACTATATACTATATAAACAATTTGAATGTCGCAATTCTTTTAATGATAGATGTCTATGGTGTTTGAACTATCACTAATTGAAGATACCAATCATATAGAATATAAAAGGGTATATCAATGATATTTTATACGATTTTTTTGCACAATTATTTGGTTTATCATTGACCATATCAACAAATTAAAAATAGTAAATACATGATACAATTAAAAAAAAAATGATGATGTACAATTCTTTTTTGTTATCATTCTGCCTCTTCAAACATTGGAAGAAACTCTGATTTATGATCCAACTCCTCCTTCCAAATTGTCTGGAGCCCTAGCACCACCCTTATTGCCAAAATCTCCCCGGTATATCAACCACTCACCTCCTATCCTACTCCTCCACCCTCACCTAAAATCTGCGAAAGTCAGTCTTAGCCATGAAATCCAAAAGCTTGTGAGGTACCTTCCTTAGGTTGTTCGAAGATAGACAAGAAAGAAAATATGAGGAAACACTTTTCAATAGTGGAATCGGTTTCCCCATCTCTCCTAATCTTCCCCCGGTCTTCGGCCCGAGCTGTATGAGGCAGAAACTCGTCTCACGTACGGTTCGAAGGCTGAGCCCCACCCCAGCAGTAGTGGTGTGACTTAGGTCAATTAACACAAAGAAGATACAGTTCACTCAACGATTGCCTTTGGGTTCCAAACTCCATATGGGGAAGGAGCGTTGTTGTTTGCGAGGTATCGACCATTTACATGGACCTACTTCTCATTCCAATTATGGTTTGTGTGTGCAATAAGGAGATGGTTTGGGATAAAAAGCCTCGTCTCCATTCTAAAACGTCGAGAAAGCTCTGCGAGCTTCCCCAAGACAAAAATAGTCTATCAAAATTTTAGAAATATTCAGTAATATACCAATTCAATCTCATATTTAATTTCTATCCATCAGCATAATGCGTTTCTTATTTCATTTCTTTCATGTAAAATATGAGCAAAGCTTACAAACAGAAGCGAAAGTGAGCATACTTTTCCAATTGGATTAGAAAATATTTGATAGGTAACTTACCAGTTGCCTATTCTTCAAGAAGCCTTCTTGTTTAACAAAGGATCAGAAATGACTTGAGGCTCAAACTCAGGCTTTAGATACCGAGCGAGCATTTCGGCATACAACTCATATCGAGCAGTCATTCGGAACCCCCATTTATCTTTCAGCTGCCTACACAAGTTAAGATCCATGTCAGAGATTAATAAACCATCTCGAAAACGAGAGAGTGAGGGAGTGCAAGATGCATCTGGTGCAGAGAAATGGCTGGATCCATAAAAGTGACCGAAATCTGTATGTTGCGGTCTCCCATCGCCTGAAGTGAATGGATTCGGGAAAATCTCAGTCCCAACACGATTGATCGATCCGACAAAATAACTGTTTGCTATTGCAGCATTTCGGGCCTGTGAACACACAATATGTCAATCAAAACTTTAAACATTAATAGACTGCAGATTATGCATATGAGCTCTCTGTGGAAGTTGGTAGAACTATTATTGTAACAGGATGCTCAAACAACAATCACAGTTGAACTAGTTTCGTAATTTGCAGCTCGAGCCGAACAGTGTAAACAGAAAAAGTTGAAGCATCTTATCCAAAGGCGAAAAAAGGGCAACATTGTGAATTAAAGTTATAGATCAAAGGAAAAAGAGCAAGTATCACCACTCATTTGCCCTGCTTGATTTTTGTGGTATAAGTGAAATGATTACATGAAACAAACAAGAAATGGATGAAACAGCTAAAAGACTAACCTCAATAGGCCACATTGGTTCGCTGAGTTCACCAACGGTCGCCGAAGGATTGAAAACAATCTCAGCACCATTTAACCCGAAAGCTAACCAGTTCAAAGGGTGGTGCCTCCCATAACATATATTTATTGCAATTTTCCCGAAGGCTGTCTCGAACACAGGATGCCCGGTGTTTCCTTCCATATAGTATGTGCTTTCATTAAAGTCGCCAACTCTCGGTATATGGTTCTGCAAAATGCCATTAACCAAAACAGTTTCGACAGCCGAGAGAGACTGATATGGAAACCAACTTCATAAATAACACTTACCTTGCGATGCTTGCCAATTATGTTTCCATTATTTCCAATAACAACGGCAGTATTCCACAAAGTTTCTCCGTGATTAACATCTCTCTCAAGAATGGAACTTACAATAACCATGTTGAATCTTAATGCAAGATCCTGAAGAAACCGCGTCGATTCCCCATCAACTGGCTCTGCAAATTCACACCACCCCTTCTCCCGGGTACAGAAAGCAAATGGCATCATCCATGCTTCCTACATATATGTATGTATAAATATAGAAAGCCCCAAGCCCCCATAAAATATACAGTTGGCTACAGCAACTTACTTGCAAGCACAATATGTTGACTCCAGAAGCACCTGCTGCCTCAATAATTGGCTTTACTTTCTCAAAAATAGCCCTCTTTTGGTTTGAAAGGGGGGCAGTTGTCGGAAGAGCAATAGAATTTTGAATGAGACCCACCCTTACTATTCGAGGTTCTCTCACTGATTCCTTGTCAGCATGAAAGCAAAAAGCCTGAAATGATGTAAATGAATAATAGATATAAACATCAACAGAATGTCATAGAAATAAAATAAAAAAATAAAAAGTTGTGACTGCGAGTGCTATTTGCCACAATCGCACTCTTGCGGCAGTGAGACAACGATTGTGTGGTACTTGTTCTAACCCAACGAACAAGTTAACCATGTGAAATTCGCACTTTGCGTCGGCTGCTCCAGCGTCGAGTCACGGTTGAGAGAAATGTTTTAGCAAACGTGAGCAAGGAAATACGTTGAAAACAACTTTAAAGAAAGCAATGTTATAAGCTAAAAGTAAGTAGGTAATAACTACGACCTTGATAGCATACAACCTGAGTAGGAAGAATTGATAACTAGTCACATCCCCCACCATACATTTTGAGGCATTTTAGCCCTAGCAGGTATAGACATGATTTTGGTGACTGGTCATACACCCTCATATTAACACAACAATAATAATAAAGGCCTAACTAACATGAAAACAAGTAAAAGGGGGTTTGGAACNAAAAAAAAAAAATAATAAATAAGAAAAATTTAACACCCGCCCATACATATAAATTCTTTGCTCAAATTAATATCCCTAGAATCGAAAATTCAATCATTTGAATCTTAGAAATGAGACTGACTCAAGTTATAAACAATAAAGTGATTCAACATATATTATCCAAAACATATACGAACGTCTACATAAATCCTTCAAAGATATTTAGCTCATAAGTTAGATGAGTGTATTTTAGTTAAGAAATTATCTTACATTACATATAACACATGACTACCTTATAATACTGATTTATACTGATTTTCCACCTTATAATTATTATACTGATTTATGTCTATCAATAATGTGTTTATAAATAGTTATTTGTATGGCCGTTTTCTATTGCATTTACCATTGATATACTATATACTATATAAACAATTTGAATGTCGCAATTCTTTTAATGATAGATGTCTATGGTGTTTGAACTATCACTAATTGAAGATACCAATCATATAGAATATAAAAGGGTATATCAATGATATTTTATACGATTTTTTTGCACAATTATTTGGTTTATCATTGACCATATCAACAAATTAAAAATAGTAAATACATGATACAATTAAAAAAAAAATGATGATGTACAATTCTTTTTTGTTATCATTCTGCCTCTTCAAACATTGGAAGAAACTCTGATTTATGATCCAACTCCTCCTTCCAAATTGTCTGGAGCCCTAGCACCACCCTTATTGCCAAAATCTCCCCGGTATATCAACCACTCACCTCCTATCCTACTCCTCCACCCTCACCTAAAATCTGCGAAAGTCAGTCTTAGCCATGAAATCCAAAAGCTTGTGAGGTACCTTCCTTAGGTTGTTCGAAGATAGACAAGAAAGAAAATATGAGGAAACACTTTTCAATAGTGGAATCGGTTTCCCCATCTCTCCTAATCTTCCCCCGGTCTTCGGCCCGAGCTGTATGAGGCAGAAACTCGTCTCACGTACGGTTCGAAGGCTGAGCCCCACCCCAGCAGTAGTGGTGTGACTTAGGTCAATTAACACAAAGAAGATACAGTTCACTCAACGATTGCCTTTGGGTTCCAAACTCCATATGGGGAAGGAGCGTTGTTGTTTGCGAGGTATCGACCATTTACATGGACCTACTTCTCATTCCAATTATGGTTTGTGTGTGCAATAAGGAGATGGTTTGGGATAAAAAGCCTCGTCTCCATTCTAAAACGTCGAGAAAGCTCTGCGAGCTTCCCCAAGACAAAAATAGTCTATCAAAATTTTAGAAATATTCAGTAATATACCAATTCAATCTCATATTTAATTTCTATCCATCAGCATAATGCGTTTCTTATTTCATTTCTTTCATGTAAAATATGAGCAAAGCTTACAAACAGAAGCGAAAGTGAGCATACTTTTCCAATTGGATTAGAAAATATTTGATAGGTAACTTACCAGTTGCCTATTCTTCAAGAAGCCTTCTTGTTTAACAAAGGATCAGAAATGACTTGAGGCTCAAACTCAGGCTTTAGATACCGAGCGAGCATTTCGGCATACAACTCATATCGAGCAGTCATTCGGAACCCCCATTTATCTTTCAGCTGCCTACACAAGTTAAGATCCATGTCAGAGATTAATAAACCATCTCGAAAACGAGAGAGTGAGGGAGTGCAAGATGCATCTGGTGCAGAGAAATGGCTGGATCCATAAAAGTGACCGAAATCTGTATGTTGCGGTCTCCCATCGCCTGAAGTGAATGGATTCGGGAAAATCTCAGTCCCAACACGATTGATCGATCCGACAAAATAACTGTTTGCTATTGCAGCATTTCGGGCCTGTGAACACACAATATGTCAATCAAAACTTTAAACATTAATAGACTGCAGATTATGCATATGAGCTCTCTGTGGAAGTTGGTAGAACTATTATTGTAACAGGATGCTCAAACAACAATCACAGTTGAACTAGTTTCGTAATTTGCAGCTCGAGCCGAACAGTGTAAACAGAAAAAGTTGAAGCATCTTATCCAAAGGCGAAAAAAGGGCAACATTGTGAATTAAAGTTATAGATCAAAGGAAAAAGAGCAAGTATCACCACTCATTTGCCCTGCTTGATTTTTGTGGTATAAGTGAAATGATTACATGAAACAAACAAGAAATGGATGAAACAGCTAAAAGACTAACCTCAATAGGCCACATTGGTTCGCTGAGTTCACCAACGGTCGCCGAAGGATTGAAAACAATCTCAGCACCATTTAACCCGAAAGCTAACCAGTTCAAAGGGTGGTGCCTCCCATAACATATATTTATTGCAATTTTCCCGAAGGCTGTCTCGAACACAGGATGCCCGGTGTTTCCTTCCATATAGTATGTGCTTTCATTAAAGTCGCCAACTCTCGGTATATGGTTCTGCAAAATGCCATTAACCAAAACAGTTTCGACAGCCGAGAGAGACTGATATGGAAACCAACTTCATAAATAACACTTACCTTGCGATGCTTGCCAATTATGTTTCCATTATTTCCAATAACAACGGCAGTATTCCACAAAGTTTCTCCGTGATTAACATCTCTCTCAAGAATGGAACTTACAATAACCATGTTGAATCTTAATGCAAGATCCTGAAGAAACCGCGTCGATTCCCCATCAACTGGCTCTGCAAATTCACACCACCCCTTCTCCCGGGTACAGAAAGCAAATGGCATCATCCATGCTTCCTACATATATGTATGTATAAATATAGAAAGCCCCAAGCCCCCATAAAATATACAGTTGGCTACAGCAACTTACTTGCAAGCACAATATGTTGACTCCAGAAGCACCTGCTGCCTCAATAATTGGCTTTACTTTCTCAAAAATAGCCCTCTTTTGGTTTGAAAGGGGGGCAGTTGTCGGAAGAGCAATAGAATTTTGAATGAGACCCACCCTTACTATTCGAGGTTCTCTCACTGATTCCTTGTCAGCATGAAAGCAAAAAGCCTGAAATGATGTAAATGAATAATAGATATAAACATCAACAGAATGTCATAGAAATAAAATAAAAAAATAAAAAGTTGTGACTGCGAGTGCTATTTGCCACAATCGCACTCTTGCGGCAGTGAGACAACGATTGTGTGGTACTTGTTCTAACCCAACGAACAAGTTAACCATGTGAAATTCGCACTTTGCGTCGGCTGCTCCAGCGTCGAGTCACGGTTGAGAGAAATGTTTTAGCAAACGTGAGCAAGGAAATACGTTGAAAACAACTTTAAAGAAAGCAATGTTATAAGCTAAAAGTAAGTAGGTAATAACTACGACCTTGATAGCATACAACCTGAGTAGGAAGAATTGATAACTAGTCACATCCCCCACCATACATTTTGAGGCATTTTAGCCCTAGCAGGTATAGACATGATTTTGGTGACTGGTCATACACCCTCATATTAACACAACAATAATAATAAAGGCCTAACTAACATGAAAACAAGTAAAAGGGGGTTTGGAACGGGCATGTGGCCATGGACAACACGTTCGTTCTGGACAAGCATGACCGGGACATCCAATATGTGGTCATAGGCAACACGCCTTGGACAAGCATGACCGTGACACTATTCATCATATAAATGTTGCACGGTTAATAAAATAATTGCTATGATATTGACATAGATCAGTATAGAAGTCTGTAGGTCCCAAAATTATTTTGCAGAGTGCATTTTCTTATAAGATTTCGGATGGAGGCTTTCAAATGCCACAAAAATCTTACTGTATCCAAATAGTACAGGCATTATCTGGATAATTAATGAGTTAAAATGACCAAAAGGTCTGACTTGCTATCATACATTTGAATTATTGTAATCTTTTCTCTTTTTGTTTTTGTGAAAGAGAGAGATGGAGAACGATGGATGTCAAATATAAGAGACTGCACAGATGACATAGGTTCTCTAGGAAACATAAGAAAAAGTATTACAGAAGTTCCTTTATTGATCTCCATTACTTCTTTCAGTGGTCCATTAAAAACAAACCGTCAATTCATTGCTTTGCGTGTACTTCAACATGAAAATGATGGATTACCAACGAAAGCATCACAACTAAACAACAGAAACAAAAGATAGAATCATAGAGATTGCTAAATGCTTCAGGAGAAACAAGTCTCAGGAACCAAATCAAATTCTTTCTAAAGGTGGCACAAATATTAATATGGTTTCTGCATTGAAAATAACATGTAATCAATGCTATCAAAGAAACTCAAGCATACAAGTGACTACCTGGAGGTCAAAACCATGCTTTAGAGAAAGACTCTTCACAGGCTCTGCAAGAGAAATAGTTTGAAGCGGCTTCCCACAGTTAAGTCCTAGAAGCAACCGGCTAACTTCCTGGCATTGGCAACGCAATGTTGAAGTTAGTTCAATTGAGAAGGTCAAAGCAAACAAAGAAATGCTAGAATCATGCAAAAACAGAACAAAAATCTATATAACTTAGTGATACATTGGTTTGAGGAGAAAAGAAAATTGAACTGATCTTGTCCAATGTTTCAGAAAGATGCCAGAAACGTTAAAAGATAAGTGAAGACCATACGAATAATAGAATAAGCAATCGTGTAGGACCAGACACATTAACCAAACACAAATCAATAAGCACACAACATGGTTTTGATTTGTTTTTCTAGTTACTTCGCAAAGTGGGTCAAACAATCCTAGCACTTTACTACATTGTTGACTAATAATTCTTCATTGCCCAATTTAACAATGATTTTGTTAATGGTTTTCTATTTTCAAAATATTAAGCTTATGAAAACTATTTAAACCCATGTTCAACTTTTCTTTTCTTTTCTTTTTTCAATTTCTAAAACAACTTTTGAGATCTTAGTCAAATTCTTAAAACAAAAAATGTTTCTAAAAAGTATCTGTTCTTTTTGTAGTTTTCAAAATTTGGCTTGGAACTGGGAAGTATGATTCTTAGAAATAAAAGCACACAGAAAGTGTTTGTTTAGAGAATTTTTTGACATAGAATTCAATAGCTCTTGCATAAACATCTACAGATTCTAGATAGCTTGTTCAGTAGATTCAAAATCAAAGCAGTCAGACACTGCTAGTCATTTACGACTACAATTAGTTATTTCCCACAAAACAAAGACTCCTCAGCGAAAGAAGAATCATACAAATCTCAATTGGACAGAATCCACATGGTAATTTTCGAACGACGACTGAATAACAACTAACAATAATTAACAACTCAATTTCGAATCCAAAACGTTTAAGCAGCCGATTAATCCTGCTACATCCATAAACTTGTGTTTCTCTCAGATATAGAATGAAAAAATTCCCGATACGCAGAATCCACCGCTCAACAGTACGGAATCAAACAGAACTCCAAGAAATGAGCAAACAAAAAATCAACAACCGAAAACTCTAGCCATACAGAGAAAATCGATTAGAAGAACAGAAAAAACGACCTGGAAAATCTGAGGTTTGAGATTTTGAGCGAGGAGTTGATGGAGCGAGTCATAACCACAGACCGAGACATTGTTAATGGCATCTTTTCCATCGTTAAGCTCGTGGTTTGCAGCGCAAGCCTGTGAGATCTTCTCCATTTTTCTCTGCTCTTGGTTCTTGTTGAATTCTTGCGAGATGGAGAAGAAGCGTGATTAAACAAAACTCAGTGATGATTTGATTCAAGGCTAGCATGCATTAAGCTTTCTCAATTTCCATTTCGGAGATGAGAAACATTCGGCTGCAGGGATGGGGCCCCAGAATTTTTCCTACCTTTTAATATAATTTCTACAAATAACACTGCAATAAATTCAATAATATAAATTTAAATATTACACCATAATATTACCACTCATCTAATATATATATATATATAAATTTGAATCGACTATTTTTTAAATAATTGAATTATATTCAAGTTGATTAAATAGTAAGTAATTAAGTATCTCCACTTCTCGAAATGTTAAAAATTCAAATTTTGGCTCCATAATAATCTTACTCTGATGTAACACAGATTTTATCTGTCTGTAACAAAAGAGGATATTGAGAGGGCAATGTCCAGAATTCAATTTTCATGTAATTATTGATAACCGTTGAATATTTTTAGAACAAAATATTTTAAATATATATATATATATATATATATATATATATATATATAAAATTTAATAAATTAATTATTGTTTTTTTTAGCTAAAATACTTATTATCTCTCTTTATTCACATTTTATGGATATATTTTTTTTTTTAAATAATTTTGTATAGAACTAAATAAATTAAGGGACAACATGAAGTCAACCTCGGTCAACAAAGATTTAGTCCTTCAAACAACAAACAGAATTTTGATTAAAAGATTGACATAAAACTTTGGAATGCAATAAAAGAAAGCTTTTGAACAAGCTCGGACTACCGAAAATTTTATCGAGACTCAACTTCAAGAACAAGAATTCTAATTCAAAAGTATGAGTGTTCATATGACTCGAACAACTTAGATCACTCAACCCAAATTGAGTTGAGTTAGACTTTATTTTGATTTGAGTTTCATTGAATTTTTTAAAAACAAAAAATTCGATTTGGTTCTCGAGCTAATTTTTTTTTGCAAATAAGATTTCCAACGCAATCAACTCAAACACTATTTTTAAAACTATTATAAGAATTATGTATTAGATTAGAGGTTAATAATACGATATAATTTGTGAATGTTTGATATTTGAGTTTTACGAGATTTTAGTTATTATCGCCCCTAACAACCAGATGACTCAATCCAACAAAATCCGAAAATAGAAGGTTCGGTTGAGAACACCTATTCGGGTCATTCGAGTCATAGTCCAACCCAACTTGTGTACGCATTAAAAGAATGCAGACAGCAGGCCTACTTCAACAATTTGTTTTTAGACATAACCAACGAACACCATTACTGGCTATTCTCCTATCATAGCTTCTAAATGGATGGTTGACCTTATCCCAGACGAGTCCAAGCCAACGAGGTTACAAACCATACGAACGAGGTTACAAACCATCCGAACGAGCTGAAGAACAAAAATGCTACTTTTAACTACGTTCTTCTAAAAGCACCCAACTCAAGGATTATGTTTTCAGTAGTCTTTAAGGCAGTTTATATTATCCCTCCAAATACAGGGAAAAATGACAACAGATTCACAGTTTATATAATCACTCACCTTCCTGTCATTCTTTTACTCCGTCTTCTCTGATGAAGTTGAGTTCTTAGTGTACTTCGTCCACTTCTGCTTGTTCTTCTCAATTTTGTTCACATTCTGGGTGTACTTTGTGAGTCCCTGCCTCAGCGCGCCGAGGTTAACTCCATTGCCAACCAGAATACTAGTTACTCCCATTTTCGAAACCTGTTGTCACGACCACGAAAACTTCGTTAAGATGGCAATACGTCGAGATAAGACATCCTTAAAATGTTTTCATCTTATGCCCGGTGCAACCTTGAAGCACTCTCATAGAATACAAGGAACAAACATAGAAAACAAATTAGGATACAAACGAGTTTTACAGTTTCAATATTCCTGTCCTCGTCGTCAAAGAATAGCATGGAGTTGAATGGTACACCAGTTCTTGAATGAATTCTCTGGAAATGATCTGTTTTGTGTGTCCAACTGGAAAAGATCTCCTGCAAACGATTAAAAGCATTGGAAGCAGGATAAAGTTAATAAAAAAGGATTTATGGCTATAAGCTGATTGTTTAAAATAACAATGGCAAGAAACGCTCGTAGGCCCTCTCGTTAGAAGACGTTTGTTCGTGCCAGGATTAGAATACTATTGTAAATGCTCATTCCACAAAACACCAGGAGAAGGTAAGAGGGCCTCCCAGCAAGCGTACTTTGGCGTTTTTCGACAAGACAATAGAAGAAATAGACTAAAATGAGTCTTCATTCGCATTCTCACCTGAGCTACAAACATAGAATTGATGCCCAATTTGTCAACAAATGTCTTGGCAATATCAGATGTTGGTGATCTAGAAGCAATGGCGAGGTCAATTCCCTTGTCTTTAAGTGCATATAATATGCCTTTGGCATGAGGATAAAGAGATGGCATTTCACGTTTGGAGCGACATTCACTGTTAAGAAAAGAAAGAAAGAATGAAGATGGTCAACTTGGATACATGACTTAACAATTACAGGAACAATCATGTTAGGGATGACTTAACAATTGTCCTCAACTAACCCCAAGTGGTAACTTGATGGCATGAACTTAGGATGCTAAGAGACATTAGAGTTTGGAATTTAACCAGGTTCGAGCCAGTGTCTTCTCTTGAAGGGGCCGCTGGGGTGGGTGAAACCTCCTTGAGGATTAGGGGCTGTTACTTGTGCATGAATTGGATGAGATAAGATGTAACAGCCCAAGCCCACCGATAGCAGAATATTGTCCTCTTTGAGCTTTCCCTTCTGAGCTTTCCCTCAATATTTTAAAACACATCTACTATGGAGAGGTTTCCACACCCTTATAAGGAATGTTTCGTTCCCTTCTCTAACCAACGTGGGATCTCACAATCCATCCCCTTAAGGAATGTTTCGTTCCCTTCTCCAACCGACGTGGGATCTCACAATCCCCCCCTGAGGGTCCAGCGTCCTCGCTGGCACACCGCCTAGTGTTTGGCTCTTGTATCATTTGTAAGAGTCCAAGCTCACCGCTAGCAGATATTATCCTCTTTGAACTTTCCCTTTTGGGCTTTCTCTCAAGGTTTTAAAACAAGTCCACTAGGGAGAGACTTCCACACCCTTATAAGGAATGTTTAATTCCTCTCTCCAACTGATATGGGATCTCACAATCCAACCCCATTGGAGGTCCAACGTCCTCGTTAGCACACCGCCTGGTGTATGGCTCTAATACCATTCATAACAGCTCAAGCCCACCGCTAGCCAATATTTTCCTCTTTGAGCTTTCTCTTCTAAGCTTCCTCTCAAGGTTTTAAAACGCATCCACTTGGGAGAGGTTTCCATTATAAGAAATGTTTCGTTTTCATCTCTAACCGATGTGGGATCTCAAGGGTTGTTATATACGACTTCATTCTAATTAAAGATTAAAAAACGATAGACGCCATAAGGTTGCACATTGACAAAGGAGATAACTACAAAATGATCATAACAACTATAGGCACCGTTTTTCCTATTAGCATGAACTCGTCTATAAGCTGATTGCTGCATGCTAGAAAATCTGAATATCAACCACGACTCCGATTTAGTTCTAATTCGCTCAAGTTGCACGAACATCAGTTCAGATACGAAAATAACCTAACAATCTAGATAAAAAAATAATGTAAGGCACGAAGCTCAGTAAATGAATTTCATATATAAAATGATCTAGTTCTATTTCATTTCTTAGAACAATCTTCTCGTTCGAGTCAGCAAACTATAAGACGAACAAGATGAAAAACAATCAAAGAAAGGTAAAAATGAACCACAGCAGCCGAATTGTTTCGTCAAAATCCCCCAAACTGCAACGGCTCAGAAATGAAACAGATAAAAACAGTTCTAAGAAAGAATCTATCAACATGCGTTTTTCTGAGTCAACAAACAGGAAAGTGAATTCGTAGAATGAGAAATTACCAATAGAATGGCCAAAGAGTGTAATCGAGGTCGAAGACGACCAGCTTTGGGAGAACTTGAAACATTCCTATAATCTGCAGAGCCTCCGCCTTGACGCTCTCGTCGGCCATCTCTTCTCCTCCACTCCGACGATGCGGAACGCTTTGGATTCACGCTTTGTCGAGTGATTGATTGGTCGATATCGTTCAACGGTTGAAAACTTGGGTTTTCACTTTGTTTTTCTAGAAGATCGTTCTAATATTTAGACCTATAAATAAATAAATAATAATAATAATAATAATTAAAATCCCGTCAATTTATTATTATTATTTTTTTAAAATTAAGGATATAAATACTATTTTTTTTTTTTTTTTTTTATCGATGTATGTTTTCAAAAACCAAAACTTTTTAAAAATTATTAAAAAAAATTAATTTTTTTTTGGAATTTAGATAGAAATTCAAATGTTTTTGTAAGAAGTTCATTGCCCATCTCTACAATACTCATTGGAAGTGGAAAAATATTGATTTTTATGAGTAATCAAATCGCATAAGAAAGGTAGAGTTCGGCTCGGCACCACTGTTGCTAAAACACATTGTCGTTTAGAGATCTAGAATATTTTTTTATCGCAATTTAATTCTTAAAGAGTTTGGATGAAGATTGAAAAGATAAATGGTAAAGACCTTTTAAGCGAAACAAAATCTTGCCTTTCTTTCTAAAGGACAAAAATTCTTTTGATCTCAAAATGTATTGTTAGGGCTTTTATGGTAGAACTACTCTTAAACCAATTCGGGAGGGGTACAAAGATTGGATTGAGTTTCATTGAAAAAATCTTTTGGAACTCAAAATTTTAGGTTAATTGAATTTGTGATCCAAGCGAGTTTCATTGAAAAAATCTTTTGGAACTCAAAATTTTAGGTTAATTGAATTTGTGATCCAAGCAACTTAGAATTCACAACCCAACCGGGTTGTCGGATTTTTTTAAAATTATTTAAAAGAATGATACTTACATACAATACAACAAAAATCTCGAAACGTTGGCTCTAACTTCTATTGTCCGTTCTTTAATTATTTAACAAAACTAAAAGTTGATCGTACAAGAGTAGGTCAATTAATATTAATTTTCTCTCGTTGGATCCTACCAAAAGTTTATCGTACAAAACGTTTAACGTTTCGAGAGTCGATTAACGTTATATTGTTAGAAAAAAACCTAAGGTAGGT